GGGCTCTCGCCAAACTGCACCTAATTCTTTCCGGAATCAGATCAGCAGGATACGTCCCTCGAGGGAGAGAGTGTGCCTTCCATTCCAATAATCTATCTCTGGAATTTCCATGTGTAGGTGGGATGCACAGAATTCTCAGCTTGGTGATGGGTTTCTAAATGCATCAGACACCTAGCTGACCCCTAAGTGGGCTACAACCAAGTCATTTTAGTAAATAATAATAATCTTTACATTTAGTATAGCGCCTTTCACATTGTGACGAGGTCCAAAGTGCTTTACAGGATTTACCTTAAAGTATAGCGACTGTGTTTTTTGTGGGTGAATGGAGCAACTAATATTTATACAGCAATATCCCACAAACTGCCATGAAGTGAATGATTGATTTATATGGGTGATTGTTGGCAGGAACATCAGTGGAAACTCTTTTCTCTTTTTGAATCATGCTGTGCGATCTTTAATGTCAACCTGAACAGACAGATAGCACCTCTGACAATGCAGCACACTCCCAGCACTGCATCAGAGTGTCAGTTTAGACTATATGATCTCTAAGGATTGATGTGGGGTTGGAATCCACAACCTCCTGAATTAGAGACGGAATTGCTACCAACTGAGCCAGGCTGACCCAGAGTTGAAAGGACATTGCAAGCCATGACAGCGACGACAGAGCCTTCTGTTTGTCACCTGAACCCAGAGTTCCTTACATTCACTGGGGGTTACCAGCCTCATTCACATTCTTTATTTCATAATGTTGTGGTGCTTGCTTTTCACGTCACTTTGCTGACTGAGGGCACAAGTTCATTTGGTTTGATGCAGGACAAAGGGAATTAGAAATGCAATGAGATGGAGGTCTGAGAGTACATTGGAGTTTATATTAGTTTACATTGTAACAGGACATTGTGGCAACCTAGTTATTTCTGTGCATTTCTTCCCTCAACAGAGAATTAAATGATTCCTTTGTTAGATTACAACAATAATGCGTTACAAATGCTCGACCAGATTTGTGGGCATATGTGACCTTTAGAATGCCAGTAAGTGTCTTAATGAGTCAGTCCTATTTATTGTTGGTGACAACATAAGAGCATTGGGTCAATGTGAGTGAAGTGGTATTAAAGTGGTGCCATGCCACGTTCTATATTTGATGATGATATGTGGTACATTTCCCTGGTATTGCTTTTTTTATTTGCCTGGCTTAAAACCCACAGTTGAGAAGTACACACCATCTCACCGCCAATGCCCACTGTAGCCAATTGCCAGGGATCATATATGTATGATTCTCTCCCCTTGTCTTTGGGAGACACAATATGACCTATTCAGTGCCACTGACTCCTCACACAATGTATCAGGATCTCAGCAGGGTGGGATTCAAGCCCACACCTCACCCGAAACATCATTAGTTGGTTCTGATTAGTTGGCACTCAGTTCCACTTCAGTTCCATCTGGAACTCAGAGTATCATTATACACAAACACCTGTGTGTACATTGATGATCCAAATGCTTGATGTGTGTGTGTGTGTGTGGCTTGTTTCGCTTAATCTGACAGACATTAAGCTTAATACCTGGTACAAATCTATCCATCTACACTGGCAGGTGGGGTGGTCTTGAGCTGTCATTGATTATTTTTCTCGTGTTCTCCCCACTGGCTTACATCTCCCTCTCGACTCCTGGTCTGGCCTCGCTGGGGGGCAGGTACACAGCTATTGATTGCCCTTTGGTATCCCCTTCCCCACCATGAGTGGCCATTGTTGACGTGCGAGCTCTTGGCAGTGTGTGTCGGCAAGCCACTCAACTGTAAAGGGCCTCAACCCTTAACTAAGCCTCACCTCTCCCCACACGGCCGCCACACACACTTGCACAAGCAGTAGAGAATGCTGAAGAGGGCCCAGGATTAGGATCCCTTCCGTTTTTACCTTTGCTAATCCTGGGAAGGCCAGGGTTAATTTAGCCCCACAGCAGCCCCGTCTGAGATCAACAGTATTAACCGGGATTCGAACCAGCAACCTCCTGGTTCATAAACCACAGCTCCATCCACCACACCACTGAGGCTGCCAACTGGATACCGTTCTCACACGGCTTTTCCACAGGAGGCAGCTCAATATAGAATGCAGTCAAGCCCTCGAGAGGCTGCACTGCTTACTTTATAAAGGCTGACATTCTGCTCACTTTTGCAAGGTTCTACATTGTGGAGCCACATAGCATTATGGTTAGCACGTGTGCCTCACAAACTCTTCACATCATTTCTAACCAACAGAACCAATTTGGCGCTGGATTTACTTGGATAAATCTGGGGCATGATTGAAAGTAGCAAAGTGTTTTCAAGCGCGGAGGATGCATTTGTCCACAAATACACGGTTATCACACTTTATGGCGTGATCAAGTGCTACACCAAATGCAAGGATTATTATTCTTATTAAAAGGAAGCAGGGGTTTGGGTTTGGGAAGCATCCCACCATTGGAAGTCGCACTTTCAGCCACTCCACCAGGAAACTCTGGAACACTCGCCCTCAATCCCTCCGCCTTGCCCCCTCACTCCCCTTTTTCAAGTCCTGCTTGAAGACCTTCCTCTTCGACCATACTTACTGCCCTCCCCACACACTCCTGGCTCAGAGCCAGGCTCCACCACTGTTAGGCACTCTGAGACGCTACCCTGTGAGGAGGGCACTATACAAGTGCAAGTTGTTGTGTACATTGAACACATATATTATATATAATAATAATATATTAATAATCCTTGCATTTGATATAACGTTTTTCACGTCTTCTAGACATCTCAAAGCGCTTCACAGAATATACTGTAAAGTGAATTAGCTGTATATTTGTGAGCAAAATTATGTCCTTTTTCAATCAAAATATCAAATTTAAAAAGCCTCTGGGTGAAGTAAGGAAGGAATGAAAGTGGGCTATCTATCATCACGTGTGTGATCATGTGTGGTTATATATACACATAAGAGACAGAAGCATGCGTCTTAGTATGTTCTGCCCATGTTTCTAATGTCTGTGGATCTGCATATTTAATTATAATAATAATCCTTGCATTTGATATATCACACCTTATCACATCATTGAGACATCTCAAAACCCATCACAGAATATATTGTAAAGTGAATTGACTGAGTATTTTGCGGGCGAAACACTGCAACTAATTGCATGCAGCAGTATCCCACAAACAGTCGTGGATTGAATGACCCTGGTTCATGTTGTAATTGTACATGTAAATGTGTTTACTGTTCATTAGTGTGTTTAGAGATGCCTTTATATATGTTGTGCCTGCTTTGGGCCAGACTGTGTTTACCTTGTTGCATCTACATTTTCATTTCGTGGGATGGGTTCCAATGGGCATAGGTTTGGTGTGACTGTTGCTGCAATCACACCTCTGTTAACACCTATTACAAGTCTTAGGGTGTGCTTGTATTTCAGAGGTCCCAGTTGCCTGTTCTGGTGGACATTAAAAATCCAATGGCACAAATTTGTAAAGAGTAGGGAGTTTCTCCTGATGTCCAGGTCAACAATTCGGCCAGATAAAAATTGATCAATCACCTCGTGACTGTTTGCGGGATGCTGCTGTGCACAATTGGCTGTCTTGTTTGCCTACAAAATACACAGTCACTGTAATTCCCTGTGAAGCACTTTGAGGCGCCTGGACAACAGGATGAGGCGCTCTATCAAATGCAAGCATTACTATCATTATTATACAATTTGTGCGGAAACCCATGTTCTTGATGTGCCTGCTGCCTTGTAATAACACGCTCCCCCACACACAGTCCCCTGGCCCCAAAAAAGTTCAAATAACATTCATTTTCATTTCTGTTTGTTCTGTAAAGCTCAGTTCATCTCCCAAAGCCGCTTGAAATGCTGCATGTTTTCATCTGTTTTGCACTAAACCGAATGAGATAGGAGGTGGTTTGTCATACAATAAACGCCCGATAACTCGACATAACTTATCATGCCCACTTTGAGTCACCATGTTGTCAATATCCCAGCAGCATTTAATGATGCATTCATACATATGCCTAACTTGCCATTTCTGATAACTCATCACTGAGCCATTTTCCCTGGGAGCAATGAGTTATCAGGAGTTCCCTGTATATACACAAATGCGCCTGACACAACTTATTACTTTCAGGTGTCAGTGGGAATTGTCTTTGAGAGGCTGAGCAAGCGAAGCTCTTGCAACCTGGAGTTTAAGGATGTGTGTGTGTTTTTGGAGGGGGAGGGGGTTGGCAAACACAACCTCTGTACTCTCCTCTTCCTCACTCCAACACACACACACCATCATACACTGAAACCACCAGCTTTCAAAGATAAAGCAAGCATTTTCTCCCACCACATCCCAGTTCTAAGAGAGAGAGAGAGAGCGAGAGCGAGAAAGAGAGATGAAATCACAGGATGAACCTTTAGAGAGAGATAAATAACACACACACAATGGCAAACATGCCTTGGGCTCATTCAGTTCAAGTTATATTTAAGGCATCCATCGCATCCTAACCCCCCCCCCCCACACACAATCCCCTCCCCCCACACAAAAAAAAGCTTCCTGAACCTACAGAGAATGAAATCAAAATGTCATATCACATCCCTGATTTACAGCCTGAAATCAAATGTGTCATCACATACTGTACACACACACATACACATCCCTGACACAAGAGACTGACATCACATGTCTTATGAGATGGTACCCACTGTCCACATCCCTGACATGGAGACTGAAATCACATGCTTCCCCCCCCCACCCCCCACCCCCCCACCCCAAACCCCACACCTACACATCCCTGACATACAGACTAAAATCAAATGTCTTATGAGTACATACACACATACACACATACAAATTGAGACCATGCTACCCACCTCCCTCCCCATCACCCCATCACACACACACACACACAGCCCTGGGCGTTATCGGTGTTATTGCTACCATTGCCCCTGAAGAGAAGCCAAGGGATAGAGAAGGGGATGGAGATGGAGATGGAGAGAGAGAGAGAGAGAGACATGACACTCACCTAAGACAAAGTAAGGCAGCTCCGTGTTCTCCAGGTCGTCCACCACCACGATCTCGCCTGGAAAATCGTTCCTGACCGAGAACAGGAGCTTGGGCTCCGCCGAGAGCGGGGCGTGGATGCTCAGGTCGTTCTCCCGGAGAAACGGCAGAGCCGACACCGACACCGTCTTCACTTTGCACTCCGCATCCTTGCTGTAGTGGCTGCTGGCGGAGTGCTGGGTCTCGCCTCTCGCCGCTCCCAGCCTGGCTCCCAGCACCGTGCACACCGGCCTCAGAGCCCACAGCAGCCACACCACCATCTCCCAACACAAGGGCAAATGCATGGTGTGCGGCTGTGTGTCTGTGTGTGGCTGTGTCTGTGTGTGGCTGTGTCTGTGTCTGTGTGTGTCAGGGAGACCGGGAGAGGAGAGAGGAAGCTGCCCCTGGATTGCAATGCACTAGGATTGCACGCACACACCTACACATACACACACACACACACACAGCTCACATCCACACACACACAGAGAAATACAGAGCGAGAGAGACTTCCCCTGGATTGCAATGCAATTAGGATTGCACACACACACACACAACACACACACACACTGCTAAGATGCACACAGAGAGACAGAGACTTCCTCTAGATTACAATGCAATAGGATTGCACACACACACACACAACACACACACACACACACTGCTAAGATGCACACAGAGAGACAAGAGACACAGAGAGAGAGAGACTTCCTCTGGGTTACAAAGCAATAGGATTGCACACACACACACACACTGCTAAGATGCACACAGAGAGACAAGAGACACAGAGAGAGAGACTTCCTCTGGGTTACAAAGCAATAGGATTGCACACACACACACACACTGCTGACATGCACTTGCAGTATGTTGCCTGGCGCTGTCAGCAAACAAATGCACACAGACACACAAAATCCTTTCTTTCTTTTTAGCAGCACAAGCGATCCAAGGGAAACATTCGGGGGGGATCTGTGCCCAGGTGAGATTTTTGTGTGTATGGGAGGGGGGGGGGGGGGGGGGAGAAGTGGGAAATACCCTGCACGGTCTAGATCCGTTCCCAGCTGAATCTATCTCCCCTCTCTGCCCCCCCGCCCCCCCCCGCTTGCCTTTATCCCGATCGTGAGCGTTTAAGTGCGTGCGTATGTGTGTCTTATTTTCTGCGCAGTTGCTGAGGGAAGAGAGGGAGGTGAGGGAGAGAGTTAAGTGTGTGAGTATAAAAGGGGAGGGGATGGGGGGGCTGTTGAGAGAGAGAGAGATCCACGTGTGTGGAGAGGGGGGAGGATGGGGAGAGGCGAATTGCTGATTTAAAGAGCTCCTCTGCTTGTCTGGTCGAAGAGGTAGTGGCTCCAGCCTGACTCACAGCTAATGCCAATGAGAATTCAATACAAACATCTGAGAATAATGCTGCCTTTCTCCAACCAGCCCCCCCTTGGATCTTGGTAAGTAGCGAGTGATTCTGCAATCTCCCCCCCCCCCAACATCCCCACACACACACACAGACTCCCTCTCTCTCATTATCTCTGATCACTGATTGAGGGGGGAAATACACACACACACATAAAAAAATATTACAACATCGACCAAAATGCCTTGATGTGTCTGCAATCTTGGGTTAACTTAGTTGCAAGGCAAAAGGACTTGCAACCCACACCTGTGACACATAGCACTGTCCCGAACTCGTCCACTCCTCACACACACTCTCTCTCTCTTTCTCTCTCTCTTTCTCCAAAAGACTCAATCAAAGCGAAATTATTATTTATTGTTACATAGATTTGCTCACACGTAACTTCCCTTCCCTACTCCCAACTGAATCGTCCAACGCAATTGATCCTTTGAATTCCCACTCCCTCTCTCTGCCTGTGCATTCGGTGTGATTTATCTTTGGAGTTCTTTTTATAAACATCCAAATAAGGTTTATAGATATTAAACTTTCAATCCATTGGAAGTGGGGAGAACCAATCGCTGGTGGAACTGAGAGACTTCACCCTCACCAGACCCCATCAATGTTGTACTCCAGTTAAAGATCTAGCCATCAATTTTCTCCACACACATACATCCCCCACACCCACACTCCACCCCATCACACACACACACACACACACACACACAAACCCACATACATGAACACTCCCAAGCACATACACCCACCCACACATGTAAACACAAACGCCCCCCCCCCCCACCACAACACACACATACACCCCCACATCGCACACACACACCCTCACTACACACATCCACCATACCCTCACCCATACCCCACACATACACCCCAACATTACACACACATATCCCCCTCACAAACACACACCGCCATTTGGTTAATTTTCATGTTGACTCTTTTAGAGATGAACCTGTTGGTTTGATGTGAATCCTCGTGACCTCCCCTGTCCAGATCCATCTTTCCCCACCCATCTTCCCCCACCCATCTTCCCCCACCCCCAGCCATCTTCCCTCAACCATCTCCGTCTACCCCCAACCATCTT